TGCATAAATGGAGTTTTGTTCCTCCAATCAAACACCATTTCTAACACTATTTATGGTGTTTACTACAGTGCAGCACCATTTTTGGTTTTAGTGTATTTTTTTTGTTTTTTAATTTTTGTATATTAATTCTTTAATTTATTTTTAATTTTTAATTTTTTTAAAAAGATAATAATTAATTATAGATATAAAAAGTAGTTTAAAACAACGTATAAAATGGAATATATTCTTTTTAGAATAAAAAATAGAGTTGTGGGTTGAAGTAAAAATACTGTAGCAACGATATTTTTGGAGTTAAAACTATATAAATAGCGTTCGTAGGTTGGAGATGGTTTAAGAAAAAATGTTTTGTCGTTGATTTTGGTAGTTTGTCATTGTACTACTCTTTGGTTTGTTGTCAATTAATGACATGTCTATCACTATTTTGGTCTTTGCTTATTTATTGGTCTATCGGATAGAACGCAACTGGCTCATGATTCACAAATCTCTCATCTACTGCCTTGAGATGGAAACAAAGTAGTGTTTGCTTCTTGCATCAGAGATTGATTGGACAATATGCAGTAGCTTAATATATTAATTGCATAAGAGATGTAATTTTAATACCTACTAGAGATCTTGACACGAAAAAAATAATCTTTATGCATCATTATATTAATATTAATTGTATTTTACCAATAGTTAAACACTATTTATAAAATTTTTACATTACCAAACTACAACCAATTATTAGGTTCGGTCGGAGGTTTACCCAATGTACATTTTCAGATAACGGACGCGGGTCCCCACATTATAAATTCAATTGAATGCTCTGACGACAGAATACCTTCGTCCTGATGCATCAAAACAAGCTATTAATAATGAAGATACAAAAATTTAACTTAATCCTTAATTTGCAACGCCAACCATTTTGTTTATAAATTATATAGAGAACAATAAATAAGAGATTCGACTATAATTTTATCATGAAATCATCTCAATAAAATAATAACCACCAATACAACAAACACAAAGAATTATTTTTATTTCTTTTATAAAAAAAAAATTGAATTTTAATTCGAAGGCAAATAATATAAAATTCATAAATCCAAAACCTCAAATACTTTTCTATATTGTAAAAGCGATATCGATTTTGCATAAATTCCGTAAGAAATCCAACAAATGTTTATAAAATAGAAATGATTCTATGGAATTAGTCCAGAATCACTTTTAATAGTTTTGAAATAGGTAATAATAATGAGTTGTAGTAGAAACATACCAAAAATCGAGTTTTAGGGTTTAGGGCAGATACGAACAACAAGACAAACAGATTCATATATGTCAACTTCTTCTGGGCAGCAGTCAAACAAACAGAACTACGCCAATTTTGGCAATAGGAAAATCTCTCAGGCAATGACCAAACTGATTAAGAAGACAATCTTTAAGGAATAGAGAGATAGACGAAAGATGAAAAGATAGATAATTAATGATTATTTAAAAATAATAATTTAGAAAATAGTATTTTCATATTTTGCCACATTGATTGTTTTTATTGGATGGAACATGGGGGAAGATAGAAAATGGGCACAGATGATTTGAAGTCTTAAGAGATAGCTATGAACAGACCGGCTGTACAGACCAGTTCAAAGCAGGTCTAGAATCAACTCTTAAACCGACGGTCTCTTAAAGATTGTGTCGGGTAGCGGTTTACGAACCCAACTTCAATTCGGGTGGATCGATTGTGTATCAGGCCTCAATAATCATTGGCCCAAATATATCAAGATGGTTGATGGCCTCAACAAATTTCTTTAAAATCATCGGCATGGATTTAGTGCTAAAAAATAATTTTAAATACACTCATGCTGAATAACTAATATTTAGTTATATATAATTATATTAATTAAATAATTTAATGATATAAAATTAACATAATTCATTTTTATCTATTCGGCTAAATTTTGAAATAATTTTTTCGACCTTGATCTTGTTCCTAAAATTATACATAAGGATTAAGTTTTGTTCGTGAGATATAACCAATGTTGTATAGAATTATATATATATAATACTCTTTCGTCACTTATCAAGATATTCATTTTTTTCTTGAGTTATTGTAATTAATATTAAAAATATTTTTATATTTGTATAAGTTTTTGTAAAAATATTATTATATTAGTATGATAAAACACTAATAGATTTTTTTTTTTGTCATTTTTTCTTTAATGTATAATATTTTTGATATAATAATTAATATTCAAATATGAATAAGTATACCTAATTTAGTCAAGAGGAGGAGGGACCATTGAATTGTTTTATTATATTCCCTCCGTCCATAACAAACTATCTTTTTTTTTTTTTTTATTTTAGTCTATTCCATAATATAATATTCATTTCGTTTTTTTAGTAATTGTACTATTTATCTAACATTACAAATACTCTTACAATTACAATATATTATATAAATGGCATTACCTTTATATCACACAATACTAATAAGGTTATTTTAGTCATTTCTATTTTATTCCTACTACATCCCAATATAATACTCCATCCGTCCCAGAAAATATGAGACTATTACTGTAGATACGGGAATTTAGGTAAAGTATAATTAGTAAGTAATTAAGAAGTGTATTAGTAAAAATAATTATTATTTAGTAAAAATAATTATAGATTAAAATTAAAATAAATAAATAGTTTAATTAAAAAAATTATAAAATTTAAAAATTAAAATGCGATTAAATTTCATAATTATATTTCCAAAAATAGAAAAGACAAGTTACGTGAGACGGACAAAAATAGAAAATAAAGACAAATTATGTGGGACAGAGAGAATACTAATATTTCTAAAATCGCATAGAAAAAATAAATGAATATATAGTTATGTAACACTAGTCAAACGTCACATGTCAAATGTGGACTGGATTGGATTGGATTGATCCGACCAAACTGTTGCGTAGGGTTAAGATAACATTCTTTAATTACCGTTGACTCTAAGCATTTCCTTTCCACGCCAGATGCATTAATTACTAATTATTCATTCATTAAGAAAATTATTTTTAGAAACGTCGTTATTAATCAATAACGTCGCATCGCAGGCTAATCAAAATAATACTCCCTCCGTCTCAGATACAATGTTTGCTACACTGTAGACACGGTATTTTAGGAGGGGTATAATTAGTAGATAATTAAGAATATATTAATAAAAATAATTATTTTATAATATAAATAATTATAAATTAAGATTAAGATAACTAATTAGTTTAATTAAAATTGAAAAAAAATTAAAAAATTTAAAATGAGATTAAAGTGTGTAATTATTTTCCAGAAAAGAAAAATGACATGGTATGTGAGACGAACAGAAACGCGGCAACATCGACATAGTATCTGAAGGAAGTAATAGTATATGAGTTTTCTAAAAATAAAAAATCAAATTAATCAATGCGCAATTAATTATTATATATCTTTCTTATATATTAGTACCGCGACCGCTAAAGTGCTCAATATAAAATTCAACGCTATGCTGAATAACATCGTGTGCTACAGACAGCATACGGTATTACCATAAATAATACATAATATATTTTAATATTTCCTCCGTCCACACCTAAAATATACAATTACTTTTTACGCAGTGCTTAAGAAATAATAGTATCTTAATTACAGTGGGAAGTTAAAAGTAGTATAATGATATTTTTGTGATGTAAAGTAAGAGCACGTAATATAGTTTCACACAACTTATACAATACTTAATTTTAGTACATGATATAATTATGAATTAATATTACATATTTTTATTATAAATATATGTTGTATTTAATAAAATCGTATGATATTTTTATATTTTATGTGTGCTGATTTGAAAAATTTTGTGCTGATTTTCGAAATTTAGCACAGTAACTTTCCGGTATTAGTAATATTTAGTCTATTATATTGCCAACTCCATTTAATTACATGAATTGGCAATTGGCGGCCGTAGTCAAATTCGGACGGCTTACTTTGTTGTGTCTATCTCTTTCAGTCGAGATTGGATCATCCCACCGCGCCCCCGCCACCTCAGCACAGTCTATATTTATATACTTGCATCTTTTGGGTGTGTTTGTTTTATAAATATTTTGAAGGGACGATTTTTTAATGTAAAATATAAGGAATGATTTAGTTTATACAAAAATAATAAATATGAGTAATATATTAATATTTTTTAAAAATATATTTATTTATATTTCTTTTAGTTAATATTTTTTAATTTCATATTTTAACATTTTAAGTTTTTAAAATAAAATATAGGGAATGGTTTAGTTAATACAAAAATAATAAATATACTTAATATATTAATATTTTTCAAAAATATATTTATTTATATTTCTTTTAGTTAATATTTTTTAATTTCATATTCTAATATTTTAATACTTTGATAGTAATTTTTAGAATATATATACGGGTTTGTTTGCGTGATTTGAACTCCCCTGATCAGTAGGGGAAGAGCTACTTCATTTACAATGAATTAGTGTTAAAGCTAGAAATTTCAAATTCTTAGTATCGTTATTTTTATATTATCGATACAATTTACAAATCACATAAGGGTTTTTTATTTTTTTTTATACAGACACTTAAATTGCGATTATTATTACAAATTCAAAAATAACATGAGAGATTCCAAACACGATCCCAACATATATATTTTATCCTCTCATTTATTCCATGTTATATTACTTGTCCGGTTCTAGATATAAGAAACTCTTACGATCTCTGAACAAACCAACCAATCAACCAACAAACAAATATGAAATTCCTCGATTCCACGAGGAATGATTCAATGGTGTTAGATAAATTCGTAATCACAAATTAAAAAAAAAAAGAAAAAGAAAAAAAAAAACCACCAAATTTATCCCAAAAAGAATGGTCTGATGGTATGGGATGAACTTATGACCATAAAGTCATAGGTTCAAACTCCGACGAATTTCAATTTTGTAAGAGAAAAAAATGTATCTTTCTTCTATAAACAGTCCAGATGCTAAAGAAACAAGCCCTGGTAATAATTGATGGAGCCATCTCAAATACTATCCAAAAAAACAAACAATAGTTGTTCAATTGAGGGATATTTGAATTGCCCTGTAACACATTTCTCATCTATCTATCTATCTATCTATGCATTTCTATGTTTGAGGTTCTTAACCAAAATCTATTATCACTATCAATTTTTCCCCTACCACTTTTCCCATCTAAACTCCATTCCAAATCAACATTTATACACACACATAACATACATACGTACATGTATGAATAGTAAAACAACGTTAAAAGTGTACCTGTCAAGAATCACATAATCGTCGACGACGACGGCCAAGTCTCCCAAACGTCAAACACATTCTCCTCACTATGCAGCGCAAACAGCCGATCTCCGCCGATCGAAAAGTCGCAAATCGAACCCCCCCGGCCATTCCTAAGCCTCGACGTCAAAACCCAATCCGACCCACAAAACACCGATATACTATCGTTCATCGACAAAAACAGCTGCCCGTCGTGCACCGCCAGCTTCGGGTAGCACGGCTCGTCCGGCATTCTCCCCTTCATCAACCGGCTACGGCTCCTCGAGCTCCACCGAACTCCGCCGCCCCCGCCGGCGCGTCGCAAGTCCATGAACCCCAAATCCTCGTACTCGTTCACCACGCATATCGACGCAGCTCCTCCTTCCATCGCAACCGCATCCCGCACCCTCCGCTCGTCCGTGGCCGTCCCGACGTCGCACCACGACCACGCCATGCTCTTGCTCCGGAAATCCAACAGGCTTATGTAACAATTGTCCTTCCTTGGAAACAATGTGGCGACGAGCAAGCAATTCGCGTCGTTCAGCCATTGCAGCTTGTCGGCCTCGCCGAGAGACCATCCCGGCGGCTCGTAGAAGAAGTCAACTTGCTGGCCGGTCATTTGATCCCACACGCCGACACCGTACTCATTGCTCCGGCCTTTGCAGCTGCTGAAGAGCTTGTAATCGGAGGTAAAGCTCAATGCGCCGCCGGTGTAGGGCTTGATTTGATTCTCGTGCGTCACGTTGAACTTATGCCGTAAATCCCCTGCAATCGTAAAGTTGTTAATGACTCGAATCGAACATATATATATCTATATATATAAGGCAGCGGCTATAGTGCTGAATTTAAAATTAAGTACTATGTTGAATAACGCATTGTGTGCTATTAGACAACACATAATATCACTAAAAAAATCACATTGTATATATTATTATAATACAAATACAACATATGAATAAAACACACATATTATAGTCTAAACACATAATTACTGAAGACGGTACACTGCATATGTTAACATAATTACAAATACAACACATCAATTACAGCACATGTTATAGTCTCGTACATCACACACAACAGCTGATTTTAGCACATGACATTCTTGTATACACCACATTTGTTATTATTAAAAAATAGTACTTTTATTATACATAGGATGTGGTGTGTGTAATACTAATGTGTGTTGTTTGCATATATGATGTGTGCTGATGTGAAAATATATACTCCGTCCGCTCGCTTATCAGGTCACGTTAAAAATATCCTTATATTTGTATAAATTTTTTTTTATATACTAATGAAAATATTTTTGTTGTACTGTTTTTGATATAATAATTAATATTTAAATATTAATTGACAAAAACTAAATGGGACTTTAGAGTAGGACGGAATTAGTAAATAGACATTACAAATAGGTTATTTTACCTGTGGATGCGCTGAACAGACCGATTCCGCCATCGTCGCGGCCTAATCTCTCACAAGCACTGATCACAATGTTCTCCGGATCGACCCAAACGGCGTCGTTTACCCTCTGGTAATCGAGGCTGATCGGCGGATGCTCCTCCAGCATCCAATCGTAAACGTGGACCATAACGCCGTGAGCCACGCAGCAGCCGCCGTCAGGCCCGGCCCGGATGGCGGTTCCGTCGCCGGGGGCCCGGCCCGAGACGGATTGGGTGAGGTGGAGCAGATTGCCGTCAAACGGACCCCATTTAGCGGCGCGGACGTGGTCGAGGAGGCCGTAGAACATGGCCTCTCTGTAGAGGAGCTTCTCGGGAATGTCTGGGGGCAGGTAAAGCTCCCCCGTACGGAGCAAATCGAGGAGGACGGCGAAGCAGTTAGGGTTCCGGTCGATGAAGTGCTCCGTGGCGGCGGCGGCGGATTGGAGGTTCCAATCGTCGTCGAACATGGCGCCGAAGAGCGAATTCCGGCCGGCGTTGGCGAGCGTCGTGGCGGAGGTCTCGAACCTTCTACCGCCGACGTTGAATCGAACTCTGTCCTTCTGAACTCCCATGGATCCGAGTCAGAGATTTCAATCGATTCCTGAAGGAAGCCGATAATCCTAAATCCAATCGCGCAAAATTTCGAATCCAATTTTGCAATCAAGGCTTCCGAATCCCCAAAAACCTCAGAAATTCCTCAAACCCCGACCGCCTCACAGAAGCATAAACTCCAATTCGAATCCATTTTCGCGTAATTTCAATCGCGAGCAGAAATCCAGACCAACAACGACAAAATCCACGGAAAGGAGACTAGAAACGACCCAAAATTGCAGCGAAATTTGAATATTTGCAGAAACAGGAGTGGAATTTGTGGGATTTGATGAGAGAAAAGTGTTTTGAATTCAAAATCGTTGATCTCCTCCTCCATATGCAAGGTCTTCGTGTGTGTATTTATATTTATATATATATAAATAGAAGTTGGCCAGCAAATGGACCGAGTCAGTCACAATATTAGCAATAGCATATTTGCTTTAATTTTGGTCCGTCCGATTGAGGCAGGCGTTGAATCAACGGCGTGGGACCACCCTAAAAGGATGTCGTTAGTAATGGTGGTTAGCCTGGGTCTTTCTGGTAAGGGGTTAGGTTTTCGAATTCTTAGGAAATAATATGGATTTGCTCACTAATAAAATTATTTTTATTATCTTTTATTATTATTTAATTAAATTTGAAAGATAACTGTATCCATTATATTTTATAGAAAAAAATACTCCCTCGTCCCAAATAAGTATTCTTTTGTTTTTTTCACGTAGTTTTAATAATATTAATATTATATTAAGATATAGTAAAAATAAAATAGAAATGACTACTAAAATAAGTTTATTAGTATGTGTTGTCGTTTCTTCACGGTCAGGGGAAGTTTGAATGTGATGTAAAGTTAATCTCATTTGTGTAATATATTGTAAGTTGTAAGGGTATTTGTAATGTTAGATATACAATACAGTTACTAAAACAAAGAAAATACTTTGTTATGGGACGGACTAAAATAGAAAAATGGATACTTTGTTATGAGACGGAAGGAGTAATTGAAGTGAAGAGTAGAAGAGTTATAGGTTGTGTTCTTTTGTCGATTTTAGTATATATATTCAGATCAAATCAAATAATTACTTTTATTTTCTATATTATACTACAAATTTATTTTATATTCAAAACATCACGTTTAACCACTTTTCAAATTCAATTTTTGACTACTCAAAAAGTCCAAATCCAAAAACTAAAACCCACATACAAACACGCCCATAATGTACATTGGGGATTATTTGGTTGCGACATGGTTCACTGCTAGTTTTTTTATTTAAGAATAAAATTTTGAAATAATATCAACATATGATGTGATTTTTTTTTTAATATATATATATATATTTTTAAGAATTGTTGGGATTAGAAAGAAATTACAACAACTTATTATAATTTAGAAAGATTAATGTTTGAGAGCTTAGAGGTTAAGAAATGTGAAGATGCTTCAAGAAGTATAATGATTAAATTATTTGGTAAGAAAGATTACAAGTGGAAGAGCATTACTGTAATCATTGGATTTAATTTGGTAGAGCAATTTTGCATATCATATCATGTAGAAATAATAACAATGTTTTTTTAATATTATAAGTTATTGGATTTGGTCGAATGCATCATTATGTTTATATATTATACATATAGCATATATATTTAATATGTTTTAAATATGATATTAGAATATATATATATATATTTATATAGATTGTGTAATCTGTTTGTAAGATTTGTGTAGTGGACATTTGATGGTACCAACTAAAATTTTGTATTGCATAGGTGTGTTTGTTTTGGGAAGTGGATTTTAAATCCCATTTTTTTCCCTCAAAAATATCAAATCAAACACCTATTTTTTTATTTTTTATATTCCCTCCGTCCCAAACAAGGTGCAACATTTGCTTTTAGCACGGATTTTTAAGTGAATAGTATTAAGTAGAATAATTTACAAATTAGGTGATGTGATGGAGAAAGAAATATATATTTTATTATTTTATTTGGATGATGTGAGGAGATAAAGTGTGAGGTAGATATTAAGTATAATTAATTATTTCATATTTTATAAATGTTGCAAAGTGTTTGGGACATACAAAAAGGAAATGTTGCAGAGTGTTTGGGACGGAGAGAGTATTATACTAAAAAAACAATTTTACATTCAAAACATCACATCAACATCTATTTATATCACATCATACAACTATTCAAATTCAAAATTTTTACTATTTAAATCCCAAACGAGTTTGAGTTATTTCATACAAATGTATTGTTTATATTAAGAATAGAGAATTAAATTGATAAAATATCAAAAACAATATTTTATATTGTATTAATATGTATACATATATTTATAAAAACTTATTCTACAAAAAAGAATATTAAAGGAACAAACATTTTAGGTTTGTTCTAACACTATTCTTCGAATGGGCTCTGGATAAATTCCTAACGCAAAATACACTACGCAAACCATATGCGAGCCCCTTGAGACCTCGAAAAATGGACAAATTCGAAAGCTAAAACCCAGAAACATCGGAGATTTGAACTCCACGCCATTATGTTATCCCTTAGGAAATAACTTAACATCTATACAATAGATTAATTTTACCATTTTGGAATTTGGATTGTAACTGTCACTATATTGTCTATCAATTGTTCTTAAGAGGACAATTTTAATCAATGCATTCTTACACACTCCTCGTATTTCTTAATTAAATCTAATCCATTTCCAAAACATAGGCCGACTACCAATATTCATAATAATAATAATTTAAAAAATAATTAAATAATATGAGATCAAATGCATGATCACATCCAAACAAATTTGAAAAGAGACAACTTATATCAATCTATGGAGTTACAAAAAGAATCACTATACTACTACATAAACTATAAATTCACTTGGGAGTTATGATTGCCACAAAATCTAACAGTTCAAATATGTTTTTTTTTTTTTTTTCAATAGTCATTTTGCTCAATAAAATTTCATAATCAATCAACAAAATACTAATAAACTAGCAGAAACAAGATGAATACTTTTCAAATTAAACATGTAAGCCCGTCGAACAATATGACTATTTTCTTGCACACCACGCCGGCTAAACTCCATATCAGCCAAGTAAGCTTAGCTTTATTTGGGAATATGCTCAAATGTATATCGAAAAAACGAAAAAATAAAATGGCCAATTTTGCAAATGTTACAACAGACAACACCACAAGCAACATATATCGTCAAGTAATAGGAACATGTACGTATAAGTACAAACAAGTATTTAGAAATATGGTGATTCAGATAGATTTGATTCCATTACCTATATTCTTGAAAATTCACATGTCCGGTAGCTTGAGCATGCTCCATTGCTTCCTGCGCAATTCGGGAATTAATCAGGTGATAATCAGGGAAGAAATTTTAGATGAGGGATGGAAAAACCGAACCTTCTGTCCAACAACACCAATTTGGCAGACACCGCATCGCAGAGTGAAGTTGGCAGTGTCTGTGAAACTCCGTTTCCTATAAATGGAGGAAAGCATTATTCTACTTAAACAACACATGATAGGAGATGTGGAAAATCGAAGCAAGTCAATTTTAAAAATCTGCAACTTTTACCTCTGCTGGTCTCTAACCAGATTAAGAGCCTGTTGTTCGACAGGGCCCAGACTTCTGTCCGGCTGCACAGCAAAGATTGTCTCATCGAAATCTTCTGGAGCTTCTTCAATGGGCGATTTCTGTTGAAAGGTACACATTATATGAGTAGACTGGGCTGAGCTATTTGGAAGCACATAAGAATGGTCAGGGTGGTTTTCCCAGACATGCTCGAGGATTTCACATTTAAAGAATTTGTTGCATCTGTTCTACGTAAAGAAAGTAAGACTATATACTATGTGCACTCTATTTTCCATTAGGTGTTTGTCGGTTTTCTCTTCTTCAGCAGCTTTAATCAAATTGGGGGGAAATTTGAACTGTGAAACTATAATTTTCATTAACTTTTAGGACCTGGATGACTAGGCAGGGTAGAAAGGTAATCTTGCCTAAGCAACGAAATAATATTTCCGTAATCAACTATAATGCACAAACAAGGCAAACAAAGACAGTAGGGCGATTCACATGCATGAATACACACATAATGCATAATGCTTTTCAAAAATTATTAAATCATCGCTTAACTTAGAGTTTAAGGAGTTAGTAAGGTGTATAATTCAATATCTTTCAACTACTCCAACACACTTCTTTTTAAGACATACCTTATATATAAAATCGTGTAAGTAGAGTACTTTGTTATAATTGAAGTAGGCCACTATACTTAACTGACACAAACTCATATAATAGCATAAAAAAGTTTCTACTGTTCGAGATAAATCATAAATATTCTCAATTCATTTATGAGACACTCAATGATACGAGCAAGTACATTCATCACACAGAGAAGGGTCAAGAGGAAGAATCATACAGCTAAAGCATCATAGTGGAGCCCATCGTATATTAGCATGACTCTTTCCGTATAGTTCTTTCCCTGTAGTGTCAAGGGAAAGAAAAATAAAATGTCAAACCAAATAACTAGCAAGTAACTTAGAATAGGCACCTACCTAGCACTAACCTGCCCATACAGATCACATCTTGTTGTTTGTATATCATACGCTGCGATCTCACGACCATAATAGTCGGCCAGTATTGCAAGCTCAATGGCACCTTAAGAGAGAGCATTAAAATTCACCCATTAAACTTAATAATATTGATGATTATGTTGTAATTTTTTGCATATCCTACAGGAAGAAACAAAGAATGATTGTTGGCTGCTTCATAAACACTGTCAAGTATTCCTTATTTATTCACCGTGGTGTAATATAATATGTATATATAATAATAAAGGTGCACTGTAAAAGTATGTATTTAATAAAAAAAACAACACGTGGAACAACAAAGAACTGTAAAGATGTGCTTTATTTCCCATGATTGAATATGACATGTCTTGGCGCTAGCACAAAATTGTGTCCGTGCGCCATGGTGAAGCAGTGTGCCACAAAATGGCAAATGTCACCAGGGCTGCACCACTATGGCAAAATATTAACAACATGAAACAAAACTCTGTTTACAGCCCTTAAAGTTTATACACGTAGCATTTCAAAGAAGCTAAATAATAGATAAAAGCACGGGATCTAAAGGAAACATTCTTTAGTTGAGAAAGATAATTTTTCTTTAGGACAACACCACAACATCATCATAGATGAAGTGCTTTGACCCACGAGAAAATATTTGAAATCTCTTGCGCGAATAATATGGTTCTAAAGTATGAACTTCCAAAGAAAATAAACAAAGAACAATTATCGCTATTGTTCATGTAAAATGCAACGCAGTATAATCAAACCTTCAACTTGAGTTTGTGTATGATTATGATACTTAGCATGAACATAGGATATAGCAAAGTTGAAACTCACCTCCCCATTTCTCTGGGTTAAGAATCCATGCACAGTACTCCTCGTTAGTTTTTCCAAGAAAGGCTTCCGAATACTTTTCTGGATCACTGGCTACTGTTGCAGCTATAACCTTGAGAAAATAGCAACACGTGGAAGAAAAGGTTTAACATTGTTCATATATAATGCCATTATACTACAATCATTCCGCAAAGTACATTTGCCAATAACCCAAAACGCCTTTTGTATCTAACTTCAAAATCTTCATTATTTTTCTCACCACTTACTTATGATTGTAATTATGTTGACAATTGTCATAGATTACTAATAAAATCTCAATCCTTAATTCCGATCATGCATCGAAAATTAATGCTCTTAGTTCTTTCATTAATGCTAAAAAGTGATACTTCATCACCATGGCCATTTTCCTCCGAGGAGGCAAGGATATGATTGATGATCAACGGTTACAGTTACATTTACAGTTAGTTAGACAACCGTTATATTCTGCAAGATATTTCTCGCTCCTTGTTGAAAACACAACCAATTGAAAACAGAATGTCGGAAAATAAAGACAAAATCTAGTGGATAACCTGTCTCAGCTCAGGCGCCTTGTTTTTATCATGATCCATCACATAACTGCAGATACAATTCCCAAGAACAGTCACGACGAGTTTACATTACTTTTCTCATAAAGCATAACATACTAATAAGTATCCTCAGATTCAAGCTCACCCAACTGCATTGAAAAGACAACTATTATCGGAAGGAATAACTCTTCTGACTATAACACCTTCCATTATCAAACCTGAAATGCCAACAAACAAGTCTTCATCCTCGCTCAAGATTTAGGATCAGACCAAATCTTTTCAGTAATACACCACAATTACGAAATAAATCCTCCATTAAAACAAAATGCTGATCTTAACAGAACACAACATAATTGTGTTTATATCTTTCAAATGCCGTAGATGAAATGAAATCGAAGAACAAACGATTGCATAAAAACTAACTAGAGAAACAGCAAGCACAGGCATTCAATCACCTAGTTGTAATTCAATTCACAAGAAATCAATCCAAAATATGAACTCCTGAGCTGAAATTCCAGAAACGACGAAACAATCAATAACTATGCGCTACAACCATCCATCCAATTAATAACACAGAAGACAAATCAGGAACACAGAAAAACACCTAAAATAATTCGCAGAATGAGAGCTGGGGCGCGTTTGAGATCCTGGCGTTCTCAGCACCAAATTGTTCTTGCGTGAACACTGCGTCAAAGCAAATAAAGCAGATGGGCACCTTTCGGCAGGAAACTGAATCTAAAACGGAATCACGAGGTCCACCACAAGCAACATCATCATGATTAGGGTTTCACAGCTTCAGATTCTTGCAATGAGAATAAGAACAAGAAAAAGGTGCTATTTGCTTCGCAAGTCTCCGAAATTCACAGCGGTTATGGAAACAGATTTGAATTTGACCATGGGTCGTGTATTTTTCATCTTATTCTGAACGGGCCGGGCCGGGCTTATTGGGCTGAATCCAAGCCCATTTTCTATTAACTTTTAAAGCCCTTAAGTGCCCTGTTTCTTTGGAATGTGAAATTATTTATTTGGTTTTGATTTGAAATTGAGAGGAATGATTTGAGTTTAGATTTAAATAGTCCTCGTCCTGAAACTAAATATTCATTTGCTTTTTGCACGTAGATTTAAAAATATTAGTATTATATTGGGATATAGTAGGAATAAAGTAGAAATGACTAAAATAACCTAATTAGTACGTGTGATATAAAGGTAATAACATTTGTGTAATATATTGTAAGTTGTAAGGGTATTTGTAATGTTAAGTAGATAATACAGTTATTAAAAAAAATGAAATGGATACTTCGTTATATGATGGACTAAAATAAAAAAATGGATACTTTGTTATGAGACGGATGAAGTAATATTTTAAAATAAAAAATATATTTTTTTGATGAATAACAATAAAAATATTAGAATTATTTTCACTCAAATAACATCACATCAAAACTCTAATGTTGTACTCCCTCTTGTATTTTCTCCGTCCCTGTAATATGGTCTACTACAGTAGATACAAAAATATAAGTAAAATATAATTAGTAACTAATTAAGAAATATATTAGTAAAAATAATTATATATTAAAATATAAGATAACTAAATAGTTTAATTAAGATTAAAAATATTATAAAATTTAAAATTTAAAATGTGATTAAAGTATATAATCATATTTTTCAAAAAGAAAATAACAAATTATGAAGACAAACGAAAATAAAAAAATAAAGACAAATTAGATGAGACAGACGGGTATTAAGGTTATTGTATAAAATTTACGCAGTAAAGAAAAAATAGGAATACAAGGTAATTTATTTATTATGATTTAATTTTGCTATCTATTTTTTTATTGTTTAGTTTTCTACTTATTTTAAAAAAGAAAAAGTGTCAATTGCTTTAGTTTGAGTTAAAATTTTAGAATGGTAAGAAATTTAAATTAGGAAGTATTTGATATATTATTGTTACCAAAATTCCTTATTAGATTATGACCGAAAGGTTTATTAAGAAGTATTTAAAATAATTAAATTCTTAATACTTATTTTACGTGGTAAAAAAAAGTTACTTAAAATAAAAATATATGAATAAAAAAAATATAAATATAAAATTTGTATTAAGATACATGATTTAAGTTTACAATAAATACAATACACCCTATTTATAAAATATAAGTATGTCTTCTAAATGATTTATGTTTTTTTTATAGATTTTGGGGGTAACATAGACTCTCCTCTTGTCATGTGACTTAATTTAATTTAACTTATTCGATAACAAAAAGAAAAAAAAAATCGTACATATCTTTACTTTTAGAGAAAATTTATTTTATTTTCATATTCGATTCGAAATTTTATTTTCCTACACTTATCTCTGCATATTTACTTTTGCATCTTATCGAAGGTTAATTTGGATACCCGAAACCCTCGACTAATGTACCACATCCGAGGGACGAACATACGGAGCAACGTCTGTTCTGAATGCCTAACTAGCGCGCTTCTTCGGTAAGCATCGCCTAGATCATGTTGTCAAGGCTTTTGAACCGCTTGCATGGGCTGTCATGAAATTCGACAAATATCTATTTTTAGGTAAGACGTTCATATCCCATATTTATTTATTTATTAATAAATCTATTTGGGATGCTAATAGAGAATTTCAACGTCCCGACATGGTACCTTCAAATATGGTGCGCAATATATTTTATCCGAGTAGTAGTTACTGGGATAGTCTCTATTGTCGAAGATATACACTATAGTTGAACTGTATATTTATCCGCTTTGCTTTGCTCAGCAATTAAGAGTAAATTAAGGGTGTTTTTGCTTGGAGGTTTGGATTTTAAATTGGAATTTGAATAGTAAAATTTTTGAATTTCAATAGTTGCATGATGTGATATAAATAGGTGTTGGTGTGATATTTTGAATGTAAAATTGATTTATAGTATAATATAAAAAATGAAAAATAGATGTTTGATTTGATTTTTTGAGGATAAAAAATAGGATGAATAATGAATGTAAAATCCGAACCGAACAAACACACCCTTAAAACAACATACTCTCTCTTTCCCGTTGGAAGGATAGCGTTTGCTTTTTGTACGTAGATTTTTTAATATTAGTATTATAATGGATTATAGTAAAAAAAAGACAAGAATACCCCTATTAGTATGGTGTAATATAAATGTAATGACATTTGTGTAATATATTGTAAGTTGAAAGGGTATTTATTATGTTAAGTAGGTAGTACAATTACTAAATTAGGAAATGATAACCTTGTTTTGGGACGGACAAAAATAAAAAATGATAACTTTTCAATGGGACAGAGAGAGTATTTTGAGTGGCTCGGAGCAGTAATGTCTTGAACACACTGGGCAACAAACCATAGCTTGTAATTTGTCCAAACACCAATTGAAGGACAGGTTATACAATCACTTGGTCTTTAAAAAATAAAAAATAAAATAAAAAAATAAAAAAATTCTTATTTGAATTTCGTAGAATGCTGAGATGCCATGATTTAGGCAACTATTTCTTGAAGTCAAAAATCAAACAAACCTAATGAATATGGTGACTTTGCGGCGGCTAATAAATTCAGCGCTATGCTGAAAAATACATCGTATATTGTCTAACAGTACATACAATACATAGTATTATTATAAATAACATATTATATATGTTAATATAATACAAATACAATATATAAACTAACAACGCATGTTATAGTTATATAGCACATATAATAATTAATTTTAGCATATGACATAATTTTATACAATACAATGTAATTATGAACAAATAACACATGTTCTTATTACACACAACGTATGTTATTTGTATATATTATGAGTGCTAATTTTGCTGAATTTTCCAAATCAACACATTAACCGTGGTGACTCCTCTATCATTTAACTAAATATGTATACATACACAAATATATATATTTTTGATTTGGTATTTTTGTTTAATATATATATTTATATGAAATATGGAGATTCATATATGTAATATAAAAAAAAGTAACTTCTTATATTAAATACTCCTTCCGTCCAGTTAGAAAGTATACATATTTCTATTTTGGGACGTCCAATTACAAAGTAACCATTTAATTAAATACCCAATTTTTTTCACAAATACCCCTACTTTACATCACATCATTACTTTTATACCAAAAAAGTAAGGGCAAAAATGTCATTTTACTACTTTTACCTACCCACTATAATTAAAATACTATTATTCCTTAATGTTTGCACCAAAAATAATTGTATACTTTTAGCTTGGACGGAGGGAGTATTAGAGAGTGTTCATTAAATAAAAAAAACATATAAATTTTCAGAAACACATTTCCAGCATGTCTAGATTATTTTAGACACTATAAGATAAGTATAATTAAAAATGTAGAGGCGGTCGCAGTTTGAACCCATGAACTTATAGTCACAAGTTCATTTTCACACCACCATACCATTTTTTACGGGACCAAAAATCATTATTGATTCGGAAGACTATTGGATGCATAGTTGTATGTTGGGAGTTGAATTTTTAATAGTAACATTTTTAATTAAAATAATTATTTGATCCTCCCTCCGTCATTCAAATCTATACTCATTTTTCTTGTAGGGTTTTTTATAAAAAAATATTCTCGTTTCTTTTTTAAGTAAAAAATGATTACACTTTTGTACTTTTTTTACTATAAAATAAAAAAGAAACAATTATTACTCACTTTTATTAGAACTCGTGTTGGTCAAATGAACACACATTAGCACGACGGAAGGAGTACAATATAAATATATATTAATAAAATATTGAATTTTATTTATATTTTTTATATAAACAATAAAAATTGAATTAAAAAAATAATGATTTAATTGTAAAAAGAAAAGAAGACAGAAAGAAAGAAAATATGGCATTGAATCAATCATCCCGTGAATTGTGGGATTGCATATAAAATCGATCGCACTAATAAAATAATATACATCATTAACCTAACATTGTTTACTTTTTACGATTATATGTATGTATTCAATGCCATTTTATTTTTATTTCTTGAAATTAATTATTTATAACATCTATATTATTTTAAGATGAATCTGGTAGTTGAACATATTGATTATTGAATTCACTTAGATTATATATATATATATATATATAAGAATACAGTGTGCAAAATATTCGAAATTCGAAAATTCAATCCGAATCAAATCGAAATTTTGAAATTTGGTTCAGATTTCGGATTTGATCGGATTGAATTTTTAACAAATTTTGGATTTTCGAATCGAGTCGGATCGGTGTACTTAAAATCCGAACCAATCCGAAATCCGAAATGTTACATTTTAATATATTTTTTTATTATACATATTTAATATTTTATTAGAAAATATTATATTTTAATATAAAAAACTCAAATTTATTAATTATATTTTAATATATTTAATTTTTATATATTATACATATTTAATATTATAAAATAATAATAAAATATAAAAAAATTAAAATTAAAAAAAATAATAAAAATATTTGGAATTTCGGATTTTTTGGTTTGGTTCGGATTTTTTAGTTCGGATTACGGATTTTCGGATTTCGATTATTTCGGTTCGATTCGAATTGATTTTTTCAAAAATTTCGGATTTTCGAATCGGTTTGGATTTGGCAAAATCTGAACCGAAAATCCGAATGTTCACCTCGATATAAGAATTGCAATAATTGAACTTTGAAAAAAAAAAAAAAAAAGAGAGGGAAGAAAATATGCCCATTATTGTTTTATTTATTTTTTTCTTGCATGCATATGTTCAATATTGTAACTAAATTGAGGATGTGTTTTTATGTTAGTGTTATTTATTTTATATATTATTTTTTACGTGATAATTGAAGTAAATCAATACATTTGCCACGTCAACAACATAATCAGCGGCTATGCGATCAAGTCAGCATCACGGATCAATATATATAATATGGGTGACCAATATATATTTATACATATTTTAACATATTGATAAATACAACATATATATTATATTATAAATCATCATACACTATCTTATAATACAACATATGTTGATTTGACCACATATGTTGATTTAGTCAAATCAACACGATATCACAGGATCGGTCTAATAATAATATAAGGTCACATTTACTAAATAAAAGAATTATATTTATTATTTATTTATATTCTAAATAGGCTAAATAGCATCAAATTCACATGTGGTTTCACGAAATTGTACGAAATTCCTCGTACTTTTTAAATTACGTCAGACTCCCTTGTAATTTCATAAACTCTGCGTATAACCCTCTCGGCTCTCTTTATTTAATGTGGTTTGATCTGCAAGCGCCCAAAATACGAATAAGTTTCAAAATTTTCATAAATTATAAATATAGTTATTATTCTTATTATTTAAAGTCAAGAAATAGTAAATATACTCATAATTAGTTATTTTTATCTGATTTTAAAAGTTTTTTTTACTGTTATTTAAGGCTAAATATAACATAAATAAAAATATTTATAACTTTAGGAGTTTAGAAATGAATATTCTGAAATTCATTAGCAATTTGAGCGCGTGTAAGTAAAAAACTAATAAATAAAGATGACCGAGGGGATTTTCCGCATAGTTTATGAAACCACGAGGGAATTTGACGCAATTTTGAAAATATAGAGAATTTTATGCAATTTTGTAAAATCACATATGAATTTTGTGCAATTTAATATTTTAAATATACTTTTTTTTATTATTAATGGACAAATCAAATATTAAACTATTGTCATATATAAAACCAGATGTATTTACATCTACTTGTATTTTTTAAAAAAAAAAAATAGTTTTGAACAATTTAATTTATAAAAAGTACACGCACAATTTAGATAGATATTTATTTTTTGAGTTATAGAAATTTTGTGAATAATATAAGATTAATATTTTGACATTATTTTTTGTAAATAAAATATATATTTAACTAATATTTTTGAAAAAGTTGAATAGTGATAATTTTTTTTAAAAAAAAATATATTTCTTCAGTGGCATTTCAATTAAATTAGTAATATAGTATTTAAGATAATGGAGTTTAGTAAGTTAATAATAATAATAATAATAATAATAATAATAATAATTTATGATATTATTTTTATATGAATGGGGGAATATGAGTGTGTTCTTTTAGAAAAAAAAAATGCAAACAAGTTTCCAAAAAATTTAATATATTACACACATTCATTATTTTATTACCTACACAATTTTTGTATACCTCACAAAAATATCCAAACAAATACACCCTATGATTTCCTAGAGACTAAATTTTTATACTATGATATAATTTATATTTATGATTAATATAAATTAATTTTATAAAAAATATGAAATTTTAAATATAAATAAAAATATTTAATTATTAATGAGATATAGAAATAGAAAGTTTTGAATACCTCGTGTAATAATTAATATTATATTTATGAAGTTAATTAAATTAATTTATATTTATTAAATTTATTTTAAATAAATAAATTTTATTAAAAAAAAATAAAAACATGTCAAATGGAGACAAATTTAAAAAATATATATATATAATATCAATCAATTTGAAAGAAAATGGAGTCTTTATTATTAACCTGATCTATCTACACTTACTTGTATGTTAAAAAATTAAAAAGGTAAGCTAAATTTAGATAGACATTTCTTTAGATTTCTTTTTAAAAAATAAAAAAGAAAAAATTGATAATTGATATAATACTTTATTAAATAAATATATTTTTAATATAATACTATTTCAAAAAACAAAAATTGAATAACTGCAAAATTTAAAAAACATCGTATAAAAATATACTACTCTCCTCGTCCCATGTAATATAGACATGTTACTGTAGATACGAGAATTTATATTAAGTATAATTAATAAATAATTAAAAAATATATTAATAAAAATAATTATTGATTAAAATTAAGATAACTAAATAATTTAATTAAAATTAAAAAAATTATAAAAAAAGACAAATTATATGAAATTGAAAAAAATAAAAAATATAAACAAATTATATAAGATAGGAGGAGTACATTTTAAAAATATATAACAAAATATATTTTAAATTTTAAATGCACATTCCATTTCCACCATTAATAAACGCATCCTAAAATGGCAGCAACGCCCACAATTATAATACTTTCTTTAAAAACATAAACCATGTACTTACGGTGTGTTTGTTCGAAGGATTTTGAAGGATTTCCACTATTCATCCAATTTTTTTCCCCCAAAAACATCAAATCAAACACCTATTTTTCATTTTTTATATTATACTAAAAATCAATTTTACATTCAAAACATCACATCAAACCCTATTTATATCACATCATACAACTATTCAAATTCAAAATTTTTACTATTCAAATCCCAATCCAAAATCCAAACCCCCAAACAAACACACCCTTAAGTGCATTTTTTATTTTTATTATATATATATATTATTATTTTATTTTATTATATTTTATATTATTTTTTTAAAAAAAGGAACCTACCAGGGTGGGCGGTATCGATTGAGTTCATCCTTTCTCATAATGACGAATCATTAATCCCACCATTAGCCTCTGCAAATTGCAATGCAACAAACATCAAACGCCAATGGATTCCCATCCAAATCCAGACTTCAAGATCGACTATCAATCATACTCGCCATTGATTGATTCCTCTCACGCTTCCCTCCCTCCATGAATGACCATCATCACCCTCACTATATGCTCTGCTCTGCTCATAATCATCAATTCCAGAATTTATTCATCTCTGTTGTTGTTGTTGCTGTTCTACAGGTTTCCGATTGATTCTGTTTCGGTTAGAGAAGTGTGTTGTTAAGCTCTGGATGAGGACCGTTAATGGCGGATAAATTGAGGATTTGAATTTTCGTGATGGATTTGGGGGTTTTTGCCCTTATTTTGTTCCTAACCCTAATTTTAAACCCCTCGGCTGCACAAGAGCTCAATTCAGATGGATTCTTCGTCTCCAAGTTTCTGCAGAATTTTGGAATCCAAATCCCCAACGCCACGCACTGTTCATGGAGAGGTGTGTTCTGTGATCTTACGGGCGCGAACATCGTCAGATTGGAGTTCTCCAATTTAGGGCTTTCTGGGCCGATTCCTGACAACACGATCGGGAAGATGGTTAAGCTTCAGCATCTAGATCTCAGCAGCAATCAAATCACTGCTCTTCCGAGTGATTTCTGGAGCTTGAATTCACTCACTCACCTCGATCTTTCACTCAATCGACTCTCCGGTGAGTTATCGAACAACATCGCCAATTTCGCGCAGCTTCGGACTCTCGATCTTTCTTCCAACAATTTCTCCGGGAGCATACCTGAATCCATCGGCGTCTTGACGAGTTTAACCGCCTTGAATTTGAGCTACAACGTCTTCGATTCTTGGATTCCGCAGGCGATTGTGCACTGTTCTTCGTTGGCTTCAATGGATCTCTCGGCGAATAAGCTGAACGGTTCTCTACCTGAAAGGTTTGGCGTTGCTTTCCCTGCGTTGAAGCTCTTGAACATGGCGGATAATGAAATTTCCAGCAGGGATTCGCCGGATTTGTTCAGGATGAATTCGATTCAATACTTTAATGTCTCCGGCAACTTGTTTGGTGGTCCGATCGGCGTCTTCGCCGGAGCTGTCGAGGTCGTTGATCTCAGCCGGAATCAGTTTGAGGGCAATGTAGGTCAGTTAGCCTACAATCTATCGAATTTGGTATATTTGGATATATCTGAGAACATGGTCAATGGCGAATTTGGCGTTGATTTCAGCCAAATTTCGAATCTCCGGCATCTAAACATTGCCGGGAATATATTCAGCAAGCAACAGTTTGTGCGTGTCGATACGCTTTCGAGCTTAGAGTATTTAAACGTATCGGGATCAAGTTTAGTAGGCAGCATCCCCGGCAAGATTGCCGGATTAAGTAGCTTGACCGTTCTTGATGTGTCGAGCAATGAGCTGACCGGACCGATCCCGTCTGCCCTGTTGGAACGTCTCCCTGGAATGAGGAGTTTCAACTTCTCGGGCAACCGTCTCAGTGTTTGCCCGTCGGGTTTCCCCGTCGACATCCTCGAGACATCGTTCCGCGGATTGGTGAGCATCTGTCCAATCGCCGCCGATCCGCAGCGTCTCAAAAGGACAGGTTCGAATCGTACCGGTGGATTGAAGCTCGGGCTCGCGCTATCGATCTCGTTGATTGTCGTACTCGTCTTGTTGCTATTTTTGGCCTTTGGACGTCGTCGGAGGAAGAATCGGATGTGGGCGGTGAGACATGCATTTTATGAGGAGGAATGTAGTTTCGATTCGGGATCTTGGGCTACTACGGATGCCAAACAAACGGCGCCCGTTCCAGTCAACGACAAGCAAGAATTGTCGATTTCGGCGCCGGTCATAATCTTCGAGAAGCCGTTGACGAATTTCACATACGCAGACTTAATGTCCGCGACTCGTAATTTCGACCGTAGTATGTTGTTGGCGGAAGGTTGGTTTGGGCCGGTTTACAGTGCACTATTTCCGGGACAAGGTTTTCGTGTAGCCATCAAAGTTTTGGTTCGAGAATCGCCGATGACCGATCGGGAAGCCATAAAAGAACTCGACTATCTCGGTCGAATCAAGCATCCGAATCTCGTAACCCTAACGGGATATTGCTTAGCCGGAGATAAGAAACTCGTTATCTACGAGTATATGGACAACGGGAACCTCCGAAATTTGCTCTATAGTTCCGTCAATGGAGGTCAATCGACGGGTAACGAAAATGATCCCGTCAGCGTTAAAGGGTTACTACCAAGTTGGAGGTTCCGATTCAATATTTTACTCGGGTCGGCTCGTGCCCTCGCGTTCCTTCACCACGGTTGCTCGCCGCCGATCGTCCATCGAGACGTTAAAGCGAGTAGCGTGTATCTCGACAACAACTTAGAGCCGAGATTATCTCACTTCGGCCTAGGTAAAATCTTTGGAGACGTGGTCGAGAACGAAAACGTCGATCGCGGGACGACGGGATATTCCGCTCCCGAGCTTCTTGGCCCGGAGAGCGGCGCCCCGTCGACGAAATCGGATGTATACGCGTACGGAGTGATTCTTTTCGAGCTACTTACGGGGAAAAAGCCCGTTGGAGACTATTATTCTGAGACGGATGATTCAGAATTGGTCAGTTGGGTGAGGCGACTCGTGAGGACAAACGACGGGATTTGTTCGATCGATCCGAAGATTCGCGGGAATGCGCCGGAGAGGAAAATGGCGGAGGCTTTGAAGATCGGGTATTTGTGCACGGCGGAGGTCCCGTCAAAGAGGCCGAGTATGCAACAAGTGGTGGGATTGCTTAAGGATCTCGAACCAGTCACCGAAGAATGAACAATGTTGTTGTGTCTTGAAATATTGCTCGTGTAATGATACGAGGATCTTTTGTTATAGCGTTGACGATGCCGGGCGTCCTTACGGCGCCGGGCTTGGGTGGCCTGGGGCGTCGGGCGGGATGGTCGTTGGTTATAAACTCTTGTTTTTTTTTTTTTTTTTGGATACAAGCTTAATTTATGTGCCCGATTTGAGCTTTAACTTTGTTTATCTGGTGTTGGATACGATGTTTTGTATATTTTGTTCGGATTTTGTTATTAATTTTTTTAAGAACAATGGTTAAGATTTTTGGGCACGATTTAATATTATTTGTTTACTTTTTGTAGGAACATAATTAATATTTTATAGGGTAAGTAAATTTGGAAACTTTTTATAAGTGTGAATTTTACTTCTGCTAAGTACTCTCCTATTAATTTTGTTTTATTCTTTTTGTCTCACCTTATTTTTAAGTTTTTATAGATAAAAAAAATAAAAAAAATTAGACAAGTGTATAATTAGTAAAATATTTAAAATTATAAATTATAAAATTTATTAAAGTGTATAATTAATTTTTTTTAAAAAAAATGACATTGTATGGAATGAACAAATATAAAAAATATGATCAAATTATATAAATTATCTTTTATTAAGAAATGTGTCGACAAAATTTTTTAATACGAATATTAAAAATAATTGTAATACTAATGTTGATTTTTAAATTGTTTAGTGATAATTTTTTATGCTTTCATGAGTGACAATAATATACTCCCTCTGGTCATGCAAATCTGTGTTCATTTGACCGGATACGAGAATTTAATAAAAGTGAATAATAATTATTTTTTTTTTATAGTAAAAAGAAGTACAAAAATATAATAATTTTTTACTTAAAAGAAAAATAATAATAATTTTCGATTATAACAAAAAAATAGTGAGCATAAATTTAAACGACGGGGGTAATAAATACATATAAATTCGAAGCTTTTAAGCCATTTATAAATGGCAATAATAAAACTGTAGGTAAGTAAATTGAATTATGGATATGTTTAATTATGAATAAGTAAATTCGCGCGTGCTCATTAGACACTATTATGGTTGATCTTTCAATGTCATGACAAGTAATTATTATTATTTTTTTTAAAAAAAAACTTAGTATAAAATAATTAAAAATAAAAAAATAACTTGTCTAACGGGTGCAAACCCAAGTCCCACATCGGAAATTGTCAAGAAAATTTCACATCTTATAAGTTCCGAGTGAACTCCACTATAATGGAGGATATCAAAAAACAAATCCTCCAAAACAACTGTTTGTATTAAAATATTTGATTTTATTTTTTTCTAATATATTCAATTATGTTTTTTGAGTTTAGAATGTTTGAAATTTTTTTGTTATTAGTTATTGAAAATTGTAAAAGTGTTATAAAATTATTTATTTTTATTATAGTTAGATTTAAAAAATAATATATTTTTATTGAAATATATAAATAAATTTTTTTTTTTATTGAAAATGATGTAAAATATAAAATAATAAATTTTTCATGTATATATTTATTATGTTAGTTATCGATTAGTTCATTATATTTATATTTTTTAATAAATTTAATTTATTTTTAATATAAAATTTATATAATGTAATTTTAATATAAAAATAAATTATTAATATTTATAGTTTCTATTTTATGTTGATTTTATTAAATTTATATATTTTACAATTAAAATAATTTATATATAAAAATTAATTATTTTAAATTTATAAAAGTAAAACTATAATATAATAAAATATTATACTATAATTACTAAATAATTTGTGTGAAATCCATAATAAATTTTTAAGGGCATATAAGAAATAATTTTATTTTTTAAAAAAAAAAAACTATTTCAAAAAGCTAATTTACCAAACACCTAAATTATCTTTTTGACCGGTCAAACAACTAAAAACTTTTAATAAGCTAAAAGATTTTCAAAAACCTATTCGCCAAACACCCTCTATATCTGTCGCCTAGGATATATTTCTTTAGCATAATTTTTCCAAATTTTATTATTTAAACTCTGTATTTTTTGAAAAAAAAAATATTCACAAAACATTCCATTAAACATTAATTTCATATCAAATCCAAATCAAATTTTTTCTAAACTCATCAAAAGAAACGCAGGAAACAAACTATCCTGAAAATAAATAGAAATAATAGGTATATCTCTTAATAATAGTTGAATAAAAACATACTTTTAATTATATAGATATAATGCTTTAATATATATATATAGAGAGAGATTCCAATATAAATAGATTTATTTAAAAATTGAGTATAAATGACAAAAAGTTTAAGATTTTATTTATATAAGTGCATTTATAAATTTTGATACTACATATAAAACATATATATTTCTTTCGTTTCACTTATTATATTAATTTTTTTTTTATTTTGATATGTTCTATTTATTTTGTATATTTTTTTTAAATAAGTATACATTTTAATTTTATTTTAAATTTTTAAATTTATAATTTTAATTAAATTAATTAGTTATATTAATGTTAATTTATAGTTATTTTTATTATATAATACTCCCTCTGTCCCATATATCGTGTCTGCTGCTACACTGTAGGTACTGTATTTTAGCAGAGGTGTAATTAATACATAATTAAGAATGTATTAGTGAAAATAATTATCCTATAATATAAATAATTATAAATTAAAATTAAGATAACTAATTAGTTTAATTAAAATTTTAAAAAAATAAAATTAAAAAGGTTAAAATAGATTAAAGTGTATAATCATTTTCCAAAAAAGGAAAGTGACATGGTATGTGGGACGAGCAGAAACGTGGACATAGTATGTGGGACGGATGGAGTAATTATTTTAACTAATACATTATTAAATATTTAGTAATTATATCACTCCTAAATTTTTTTATCTACAATAAAAAGTGGACATAATACTAAACAAAGAGAATGTTTTAAAATATTAAATCAAATAACTATTTCTATAAATATTTTGGTACATCATACATAATTTAAAAATTATAGCAAATATATTGACAAAAATGTATTATATCTCCGTCCATCCAGCTACAAAGTATAGTATTTTTATGTTGGAACGTCCAATTATAAAGTAACAATTTTATTAAATACTCTATTTTTTTTTTTACAAATATATTTACTTTACATCGTATCATTACTTTATACCAAAAAATAAAAATAAAAATATCATTACATTACTTTTACCTATCCACTATAATTAAATTATTATTATTTTATAAACTTCAAGCCAAAATTAAATATATACAATGGGGTGTGTTTGTTTGGGGGATTGAATTTTGAGTTGGGATTTAAATAGTAAAAATTTTAAATTTGAATAGTTGTATGATGTGACATAAATAGGTGTTGATGTGATATTTTAAATGTAAAATTAATTTTTAATATAATATAAAAAAATAAAAAATAAGTATTTAATTATATATTTTTTGAAAATTTTTTTTGAATAAATAGTATAAATCCAATTCAATTCCCCAACCAAACACCCCCCCCATATTGTATCGACGAGGCAGTATAATTCAAACACGCAGGAACAATGGGCCGCGTTAGAGCCCAGCGTTTTTAACCTAAGTGGCTCGAACATAAACACCAAGGGCAAAAACGTCATTTCATACTAAAGACTATAAAGCTCAAAGGAGAGTCAGCTATGAAGGAAATGAGGAACTGAGGGTGGAGGGAGGAAATTAGGGTTTCGTAAGGGTGGTTGCCCCTCCCTCTCTCCCAATGATTTCCACCAAATCGGAACAACAGCCCTTCTTCAGAATCTTAACTGAACTGAAACGAAACATGGTTTGTTTACTTGTGTTTTTGATCAGAGGTCGGGGATGGTAGCCATGGCGACTGACGTGCTTCTGCTGTTCATGAATCCTTGGCTTTGATCCAGATCCTATGTTGCATTGCAACTACTACTACAACAACAATAATAATAATAATAATAATCGTGATCGGATGGGTGGGCGAAAGAGGAGGCTGTGATGATAAATCGTATTAGTTTCCTCTGCGGTGGGGTTACGAGAAGCTCCGGCTCGTATCTTGGCGTGGCGACCCGGTCGGCATTTGAAATTTGCAACCGGCGGCGAGTCGCCGTTTGTACGCAGCCATGGCGAGGTCGGACTCTCTTTTCCCCTTTTTTTCGGATCTGAGCCTCTGTTTACATTTTTTTCGAACATTTTTTCTGGTGTTTATGGTTAAAGAGAAGTTCGTTTTGGAAATTAGTGTAATGCTCTTATGAGCTGTGGGGTAGATCTGTGGATCCAATGAATCTTTCTTCAAATTTCGTTAACTCGTGATTTCAAAAATGGATTTGGTAGTTCGGGAATTATGTGGAGAATCTAGGGCAAATATTTGAAGCCATGCCTAGTGTGTGTAGTTTAAGAGAGGAAGACATTCTAAGGAGATGAAATAAACAGCCATTGATAGTTTCTGTTGTTTGAAGAGTTTTGTATTTTAAATCTTTTGAAATGAAAATAAAGTTCGAAATTAGTGCGTTGAGTTTCCTTTGTGTTATTCTTTTTCGAGTTTTGTGTTGATTTTTATTTTGAGTGTATCACATCCTTACAGCTATCCAAATCAAAACACAAAATCAAATTTCGAGTAAACAAACGCTAGTTATTCGGATGTGATGTTTCTTTTTTTTTAAAAAATTTCCTTTGGATTTGGGTGGATATGGCTGTTAAGAGGCCCGCATCTTGGCAAGGCAACCCGGATGGCATCCGGGGATCAAGTTCCCGGATGCAACCGGTGAGTTTGCAGCCATGGCGTGGCTACGATATGATCTTTCAACCTAAAATTGGTGTTGATGTGATGTTTGAGTTGGAAAACACGGTTTCACGCATACCGATTTGGAATTTTAGTCCCTATCTCCTAAACTTCTATCGGCGTGGAGCTTAGGTGATGAATGTGAATTCTTGAATGTATGTCCTCCTCCGACATTGGTATTGAATGGAGGTTTTGATGATGATGATGATGATGAATTTGGAGTGCCATTTGGATTGGGGTGGATCAGGCAGTACGTGTCCCATATCTTGGCAAGGCAACCTGGATGGCATCGGGGGATCCAATTTCTCGGATGCAACCGGTGAGTTTGCAGCCATGGCTTGGTACTTTTATTTCGCCTGATCATCCCTGATGTTCCGAGCATTCCAATTCTCATCTAATCCTATGGTTTCGCCAGCACGGCCATAGCAGATATGTTTTAAATGACTATCTCACCTACAAGCGTATGCGTAAAAGAATATGTATTATTTATTTATATGTTATGGAGTTAACCGACACATGTCAAGAGCCTAATCTATATATTTTTTTTGTTGAATTGGTCTATATCAAGCAAGTTACACTGAAATTCCCCTAAGATTGTTTGGTAATGAAGAAGCAAGCAGCCGAGATGCCAAATTTGTCGCAAATTCTGGTAAGATTCTCATACTTGCTTCTCTGTTTATTAGCCATATAATGAATATAGGTGTTGAACTTGTTATTTTCCTGTGCTGTAGGAGACAGTTTTGCAAACCGGCAGACGAAAAGGTCTGGTGGAATGTTTTATGGATAATTGTTACATGTTCGTGATTGTTTCTTGATTTATAGCAAGTTTGTTGGCATGTGGTGAATTGGATTCACGCATCTATTTGGATGGATCGAACCCGAGTTACGGGGAATGTCTCACCCCATGTCTACAAGAATTTGACTATATATGCATTTTGTTTGTTAAGTGTTAACTATGTTTTAAGTTTGTAGTTGATATTCTTTGTGAAATGCTTTCATAGGTATCATTGTATACATTCAATTACCATATGTCATAAGAACAAAATAGTTCCCTTTGAGTTAATAGGTTCAGATCCCCGACACCTTACGGCAACTGTCACAAATGGTTCGCCTAGTGTGATTTTTCCGTCGAATCTGGTTTGCAGGGTATTAGGTTTGATCGGGTTTATCCAATGCGCATTTTCGGGTAACGATTGCGAATTTCATGTCATAAAAAAAAAAAAAATAGTTACCTTTGGTTACAGTGCTAACTATTAATTCTTTTCGGATGCACCTAGTAAATATTCGGAGAGCACTAACTTTTAGGGTGTGTTTGTTTATAGTCTGAATTTTGAGTTGGAATTTATATAATAAATATTTTATATTTGAATGATGTAATACAAATACGCTGTTTAATGTAATATGTAATATTTTGAATGTAAAATTGATATTTAATATAATATATTTCTTCCGTTTTTTAACAATTTATTTATATTCTTATAACAAGTTATTCATTTTTTTTATTTTTTTTTTGTACTTGCATTGTTTACTTAACATTATACTAATACAATAATCTTTCTATTATACAATATAATCTTAATATTTGCAAAAAGTAAACATATAAGTAAAAAAAAATTATTTTTTCTGTTCCATAATTAAGTATTCATTTACTTTTTGCTACAAATTAAAAAAAAATTACAAAATATTTTTATTAGTTTCTTATAATAGTATAGAAAATTATATAAATATAAGTATATTTTTAACATTAAATATAATAAAAAAAATAAAATTGTTAAAATAAATTTATTTTATATTTAAAATATTATATCAAATTTCTATTTATATTATATTAAATAATTATTTAAATTTAATTTTTTATTATTCAAAAATTCAAACTCAAACCTAAAACAAGCAAACAAACATGCTACATGAATCTGATAATAAAATTTTAATTCAACTATTCTTGATTTGGTTTGAATAGTAAGATTCAGCGCCAAATAAATTATTTTGGTTAGTATTTTATATAAATTCAAATATTAAATTATAAAATGAGCGCCAAATAAAACCCTAATTCTAATTTCAGAGACCCCTCTACAGAGTCACAGTTGGGCGCCCGCCGCCCCGCTCGCCGGAGAAGATGAAGTTCAAGGCGTACCTGACGGACGACGGAATCAACCTCCTGACGCACCGAATCCTCTCCGCTCTCGAGAAAATCGGTAAGATCTGTCACCTCTACCTCAACCGCCACCACCTATTCTTCCTCCACAACCTCCTCTCCCCCGACGGCCTCCACTCCGTCGCGCAATTCAACCACCGCTCACTCTTCCACGACTACCGCATCACCAGCCAGAACGACGACCGCATCGCCTTCTCCATCGACCTCTCCCTCCTCCACCGCGCCCTCCGCTCCATCCTCGCCATCTACAACAACTCCAGAGACATCAACTCCCACGGCGTTCAAATCAAACTCGTCAAAAAATCCCCTCCGCACAACAACCACCCCACGCCTTACCTCACCTTCGAAGCCAACGGCTACACCTCCGCCGTCGTCCAGGACGTTCCGATCTCTAAACCTCTCTCCCGCACCGACGTCCACGACCTCCAAATCGCCGTGGAGAACTCTCAGGATATGCCGGCGACGCTAGTCAAATCGCCGGAGCTGATTTCGCTGCAAAACCTAGTCGACCGAATGAAGCACGTCGGCGACGTAATCGAGGTTTCGATTACGAAATACGGAGATCTGAATCTATACATTTCGACTAGCTTGGTCACGTTGGGGACTGAATTTGAGAATCTGGTGATTCTCGGAGAGAGAGTTGATAAGGCGGCGGCGGCCATGGGAGAGGAGAGGTTGAGAGGGAAGAATAGGATTGAAAGGGCGGTGGAGAGAGGAGACGCCATGAGCGTGCAGGTGAATGTGAAGCATTTAGTTAAGTGCCTGGAGTACAGCTGTTTGGCCAAACCTGATTCTGCGTTCTTCGGAATTGGTCGGCATGGATCTTGCTTGGTTGTGATTTTTGAGTTCTTCGTTCCCGGCACGAGGCAGACTGATAAATCTATCAGTCTCCATTGTAGGCTGCCTGTGCTTGATCCAGGCTCCAATTGAAGGCCATGGCGGAGTTTGCTTTGCAGCCATGGTTTGCTTATTTGGTTACCCTTGTTCATACATTTTAAATTTGGGTTTGTTTGAATATTTTACTGGATTTTTATTATTTGGAGAAAATATCAAATTAAATACTTCATCCGTTCAAAATAATTTACAGTATTTATATTTTTGTCTATTTTTTAACAATTGATATTTTTTTATTTTTGGTAAAAATTACTTTCTCCGTCGTTCAAATCTATACTCAATTTTGTTTTTGGGTTGTCATCTAAAAATATTCTCATTTTTTTTAAGTAAAAAATTATTCTACTTTTGTACTGTTTTTTACTATAAAAAGAAAAATTAACAATTATTATTTATTTTTATTATAATTTGTGTCCGGTCAAATGAACACACATTTGCATGAAGGAGAAAATATTAAATAAAAATATATTTAACAAATATAAATCAATTTAATTAATTAAATAACATACAATATCATAAATAACGTAGACTTACTTAAAATCTCTTTATTTCTATATCTTATATTAATTATAAATAAACAATTTGTTTTATTTACCTGTATTATAGAAAATTTTATTGTCTATAAAATGATATCTATATTGTATATATTTTTAAATATTTAAACATATATTTTAATTTTTTAATCATATATATTAAATTACTTTAAAACTATAAATATTATTAATTATAAAAAAATAATATAATAATATTATAACTAATTAAACATTCTTATCTTAAATACGGTGTGCTTAATCAAAGGGTTTAATTCGTGTCCCTAATCAAATGATTTAATTCATGTAAGACATCGAGAGTATATTTATATATATTTTTTTATCTTCCCGTCTTTAGATAAACATTTTATTAGAATTATACAATATAAAAATAATAATATTTGTATAATATAATATAAATTAAGATATTTTTAATAGATAGCACTCACCTTTTTTTATATCTTCTAAATATTATGCAATATTTTTAAAATAAAAATAATTAAATATATTAATTTCTATCTCACACTTTATCTCATCGTATTCCTTAACATACACTTGTCTTTTTCATCATATAAATTTTCTCGTATCGAAACAAATATTATACCGAACAAAAAAATATATATATTTTGTTATAAAACATATAGTTAAAGAGTAGAGGAAAGTAGAAGTACTATATCAATATTTATTTCCATTATTATCAAACAATTATTTCAAATAAAAAATTTAAGGCAAAACTGTCTATATCCCCGTGTGATTTAGAAACTCGACACCTTTTTCTTGTATTTTAGAAACTGTTCGTACCACTCCCCTGTATTTTTTAAAATCTTGGACACTCTCCCATTTCATCATTTCAGCTTCACAGTGTTATATTTTTCACCTTATGGACCGTTGTATCCCTTAATTAAATAAGTGTGACATAATCTTTCTCTCTCATCACTCACTCTTTCCTCTCCCACCGACAAGAATCCCTTGCGACCACCCCACCCCCTCCCGACACCGTTCGCAACAACGGAAGGCAGCGGCCACCACGACGAATGCCTGACCACCACTTCCCTGACGACCATCACTGCGAACACGCGACATGGATTTAAGAATGAACAACCAACCTTATTTCTCCAATCGCTGAACTTGTAAGTCACGATTCCAATTTTCTTTTCAGTCTGCATTGACAACAATTTCGGGTTGAGAAGTTCTCCGATTTTGAAAGTCTGTTCCTTGGTTTTAGATTAGGGCTATATCGGGTTGAGAAGTTCCCCAATTTATCATAAGAAGAATTGGTGTTCAATTAGATAATTTGTTTTTTCCTTTTATACATTTTCATTGGTGTCTCCGCAAACACAAAGGATGCACATTCAGATAGGAAATTAGTCGATGTAATTTCATTGGTATCTTCTTCGATATTACACAATAATATTTGGTTTCAAATATGTACCTGAAAATACTAAATCGGAGGCTGAGCAATGTCGAACAAGGAATTCAGAGGTTGAGAGATGCCGAACAAAAAAATCTGGATCGGATTTGCTTTTTCTGTGCGAGAGAACGATTGACATAGATTGGAAGAACTTGAAAGGGTGGAAAGGTAAAATGGGGAGTTTGGGTATTCAAAGGAAACAATTGCACATATACTTGCTTATTCCGCGCGTGAAAACCAACCGCCGTTAACTTCTAATGTTGGGGGTTATGCGTAAAGTTTCTGAAAACACAATGGAGTGCTACGCAATTTCTAAAATACAGACAAAAAATGTACCGAATTTCCAAACCACATGGGGATATAGACAATTTTGTCAAAATTTAAAAGCCTGTATTGAGATATTATTGTTAATTGTACATTATATACTGTGGTATTGTTTTAACAAACAATCACTATTTTAATTAAAAAAATTTACTGTTTAAATAAAAAATCCTTTTTGAAGTAGTATTGTTATTTGCTTAGTTGTACATTATATAACATATAATATATGATATGTATTTAATATACACCGGTATTCATTTTTTTTGACTTCACAAGATAATAGCTATCTTTTAAAGTAGAAATTTTTAGACAAGATTGTGTCATTTAGCAGGATATTAAAACAGGAAGATTTCATATTTGAGGTTTATTTGAAGTTCACAGTACTGGGTTGTTTGTTTAAATAAAGGATTTTGGAAGTAAATTGATTCTTTTGTTCGATAATTGAAGAATTTAGATGAGAAGTGTACGAAACTATTAGGAGAAAATGATGAAATGATATATTAGGATGAAACGATGAAGTGGTAGGAGAGGGTTTTAGTGAGAAGTGTAGAAGATATTAGAAGCATTTGGTATTTCCATGTTGTTCATCATTTTCCTGCAATTAAAAATTTCTCATTTTCATTTACTTTCAATATTCCAGTCTTTTGCTTGCTTACAAGCCAAATGGATTTTATTTTATTTTTATTCATGGGAAAATTTTCCGACAGACCGGAGAATATCAATTTGAGGGCCGAGAACAGATCAGGTATACTAGAGAAGCTCTGCTTCAGCTGAGGAAGGTAATGTTCTTTCCTATGCATGTACACACTTATTGTTGGGTTTATAATTTAGTTATTTTCTAATCTTGATTAATTGACTTTTATCAATTTTTTGTTGACATCTTAAATGTAGCTTGCAAAGGAAACTGTTTGCGATTTCATTCTCGGAACCTGATCATTGCTACATGCATCAATTAATATGACGATAGCGCCATTGTTAGGTTGATTCCTACTTATGAATTGTATACTTGTATTTTCTATCTATTATTCATCCGTGCAGATAATAGATATATATATATATATATATACATCAAAGAAAGAATGTCTAGAGACTTTATTTAACACTCTATAAGTTTTTAGGACATCCTATATTTTCTACACCTATCATAACCATGATACATATTTCAATACAGTTAACATGAATGAATAGTGATTCCATGTAATCCACTCGTTGAATTTGGTTATTATTTAAAGCAATTGAACATTTTTAAAATTTTCCATTTGCAAATACAGCTTGTTTTGTGTCTTTTTGCATGATTACAATTAGAGCCGGCAAAAACAGACCCCGACGCGACAACCCGACACGACATAATTGGGTTTGGGTTAAAAATTTCAACCCAATTATGTATACGAATTGACACAAACCCGACACGATAGTACACGGGTCGGGTTAGAGTTGAGGCTCTCAAATCGAACCTGACACGACAACCCGATTATAATATATTAATATTGATTAATATGTTTATTATATACGTAAAATAATCATAATTTAATAATTTTCTCATAAATTAATTTAAACTAAGTTCAATTTTAAATAATTCAACCTAATTTACGCCCAAACCAATAAAAATTAACATAACACAACAACATAACAAAAAATTATTTAATTTGAATCAAGAAATTAGACTTAATTATGTATACGGGCCAACATGAGTCAATTCAAACACGACACGATAATAAACGGGTTAACACGAATTCGAGACGAATCAACTCATTAGCAGCTCTAATTACAATTGTCACTCTTTAATATGTTGGTGTTACCTGATGATTATTTTTATGCCTCTAATTTTTCCCCCACAGTATGCAATTTTATTGCTAAGATGGTGAACATTATCCCAGAGGAGGTTCTGAAAATTAAACAAGAAGTCGAATCTGACCTGTTTGGTGTCAATCCTAGGAGTCGTGGTGAAAAGAATGTAAGCTTATAATTCCTATTGAGAGAGAAACCAAAAAACCTCATGCTGAACGACCGGCAGAAAAAAACTAATGATTTGGGACTGGGTCAACTTAACACGCTTTGGGCTGAACCTGCACAAATTTGTTTTTGAATATTTTCCAATTTGGGGTGTCTACTTTTAACTGCGGAATTAATCAAAGTAGAGAAGATCTTTTACTTTAAAAATAATCTAAATATTCTAAACTAAAATTGGGTTCTAATGGTGAATTGAAATTTTGTTCTTCTAAAATAGTTATTCGTTCTTTGAGTAATTCGTTTTCAGATTCTAAGGCTTTTAATCTTTGTACTAATGGTTCTGTTTCTTTCTTTTTGTCGTTTTTCTTTTTGATAGCTTTGTTAATACAATCTAATAATCCTTGTATGTTTTCTAATACTTTTGATTTATAATGACTTTTATTAAATTTATTCTTAAAATTATCTCTAAATTCTACTAGATATTTATGGATTTCTTCAATATTTCTAAAATCTTCACTATTAGGATTATTTATCTTAGTTCTATAGGGACCTCTAGTATAAGTTTTAGAAGTTGACATATAATTTTATAATTATCGAAGAAGGTGATAAGAATGATGAAAATATTAGAGATTTAAAGAGATTATCAGTTTATGAGATATGGGTTTTTTAGCATCGAACGTATAAATCTTTTCCTAAATGCGCCCAGCACGCTTCCATAAAATCAAAACTCTGATTAAACTTGTTACCTTTTCCGTGCTTTAATCCTGGTCACCTTCAGCCAATTGCTTACGAACTCTTCCTAGCGGCCACCTGCCTAACGGATCTGTTCCAAAGAGCAACTCTAGGCTATCACTGTGTGGATATAAAGTTTGGAATTGGCAAAGGTTTGCTCAAGGCTAAGATAATATGTAAGAGTAATTGTATTCACATATAAGGATAGAAATACAGAGGTTCTAGCTATGAACCCAAAAGATTTCTCACTCACTCACTCATAGTATTCTTAAACAAGGAAATGATCTAAGGTTGATCAATTCTGCCTTGCTATTACAATATGCTTCTCTATTTATAGACTAAAAGATACTTTGGCGTCTGAACCGCCAATTGAATATATGGCTTAGACTGAGTCTTCTGTCTTTGTCTGTTGTTGCGTCATGGCTTACGTCTTGTCTGTCGTCACTGCTTACATCATTCTGGCTTGTATTCCTTGCTGAATGATTTTTTGTTTCTGTTTTTCTTCTGCTGATTTCCAGAGTTCAATTGTCCTTGAATCATTTGGGAAATTTTTATTGTTCATTCGGACTATCATTTCACCAATCTTTATGGATTTGAATTTCGTATCTGTAGCCTTTTGACATAGCATGTAATTAGGTCCATCACTGAGTACTCCGTATCCTTGGTTCTGCATTCTTTTTAATTGTTCATGTACAGCTCTTAGTCCAATTGCTCTTCTGAAGTAAACATACTGGTCATTTGGATTGTCATATTTGGGCTGAGTATTGGGCTGTTCTGGTGGTGCTGTATGGGCTTTGTCTGTAGTAGCACAAAATAAATGGAAAGGTGGATTTCCAAAGTCTGGTCCAATAGTCCAAACCTGTAGTTTACTTATGTATGGGGCAAGTAATTTTTGTAGTTCTGGCCAAAAGGTAAGTTCAAATTTTGTAACGCTGAGGTAAATTTCTCGGATGTATCCAAAGTAAAGATAGGTAGATATGAAGTTTGGGTCACAACCAACAAAGGTAGTCATTTTTGGGTGTATTCCTCTTTGGTTTGTGGTTTTGAAAGTAGGGTTTTGTGGTAGTTGTTCCATGAAGGCTTTGGCTTTGAAGTAACTTTCTTTGAGTAGGATTTTTTCTGGTTTTTCTGGTAGTTCTGGCTCGAACATTTCAGAGGTAGATATTTTTTTAGTATGAGTAGGTTGGTTAGATCCTGGTCTCAGATCTATTTTGGGTCCTTGTGTATCTTGCGTATCTTTTGTATTTTCTTGAGGGGTTTGATCCTCCTCAAATCTGACTTTCTTGGGGGTTTTATCCTCCACTTTTGGGGTTTTATCCTCCAAAGATTGCGTAGATTGCGTATTTTTCGTAAGAGAGGTTTCAACCTCCTCGGATTCTTCGCGTTCACTCACATCAGAGAGATCCACGATTTCTGTATTATTTATTATAAGTGTGTGCAATTTGACGAACAAGTCGTCTGTGTGTGACAACTTCTCTTCAGCCAAAAAGAGTTGCTGTTTTATGTGTGAGATATCTGATCGTAATTGCGTACTTTGTATGCGTAATTCAGTTAACTTCTCAATGATAACATCAATGAGAGTCTGATCTGCTGGGATATCCATCAGGATTCCTGCTCAAGAAATCTGCTAAGAAATTGTCAGTTCCTTTAATATGTTCAATAGTAAAATTGTAACAAGACAATAAACACTGCCATCTATGTATTCGTCTATATTGTGGACCGCTTCCTTGATTATTCTGTAATAAAGCTTTTACCTGCGTATTGTCGGTTAGTATTTTGAAAGGTACATCAATTAACCATATAGTAAATTTTGTAATTCCTCTAATGACTGCTAAGGTTTCTTTTTCATTAGTAGTGTAATTGATTTCTGCTTGTTTAAATGTTCCTGAAGTGTATCTACATATTTCTCCTAAATCTGTTTTTAATATTGCTGCCCAACAGTAATCACTTGCATCTGTATTTAAAATAAGTTTATCTTTTGTCTTATCAGGTATTCTTAGCTTAGGTAAATTTTTCGCTTCTTCTTTTAATTGTCTGACTATGTTTGTATGTTCTTCTTTCCATCCTGATTTATTTGATTTTCTAATAAGTAATCTTAAAGGTCTAACCTTTTCTGCTAAGTTTTCTATAAATCCTTCACTAAAATTAAGTATTCCTAAAAACTGTTGTATTTGTTTTTTATCTTGTAATTGATCTGAAAAGTTGGTTAACTTATGTCCTATATGTTCCTGTTGTTCTATACCATGTTCGTGTAGTATTAGTCCTAAGAATTCTATCTTTTCCTTTTGTATTTCGGCTTTCTTTTCACTAAGTATTATTCCATGATCCTTGCATTTTTTGCTAAAATCCTTTAAAACTTGGTAGTGTTCTTCTAAGGTTTTTGTAGCAATAAGAATATCATCTATATAAACTATTATGTTTTTATCATTTTTGAAAATGTTATCCATTTTTCTTTGAAACATCTGTGGTCCATTCTTAATCCCAAAAGGCATAACTATCCATTCGTAATGACCACTAGGTGCACTAAACGCTGTGTAAGGTATACTTTCTGGTTTAAGTTTTATTTGCCAAAATCCATTCTTACAATCAAATTTACTATAATATTTTTGTCCTCTAACTAAGTTGATAAGTATTTCTTTGTTAGGAATAAAGTATCCATCAAATTGCGTAATATGATTAAGTCTTTCGTAATTTATGACCATTCTAGCTTTTCCTCTTTTTTGTTCACTATGGTTTCTAACTAAAAAGGCTGGTGAACTATGTGGGCTTATACTATCACGTATAACTCCTAATTCTTTTAATTCTTTTATTTGTTTACTCATTTCTTCTTTGTCTTCTTGACTATACATCGTAGGTGGAGATCTAATTTTTGTATCCTTAAAGTTTTCTTTTATTACTATGTCAGCATAAATTTTATTTTTATCCCAATGTTGGATTGAATATGAAGAAGACCATAATGAAAATATAGTACAGATTAATGATTTAGAACAATTTGACACAGAATTTTGGTATTCAGAATGAATAATTTTCCGAAAATAGAATTTTCCGAATTAAAGCACCATAATTGCGTCCCCAAGCACTTAAAGGTTTTAACCAAATTTGATCTGATAAAATTTTTTCTACAGAATTTATTGGAAATCTAATGTTTTCTGTAATTAATTCGGAAAATTCTATTTTCGGAAAATTATTCATTCTGAATACCAAAATTCTGTGTCAAATTGTTCTAAATCATTAATCTGTACTATATTTTCATTATGGTCTTCTTCATATTCAATCCTTCTTATTAATTTATTAATAATTATTTTTATTATTTGATATAATAATATTATATTAATCTGTCCAAAGCGGTTCCAGGCTAGCTCACTGTGTGAAGTTACAGACTTGGAAATTGGATAGATTTATAGGCTATTATCAAGAAATATGTATAAACAAGATAATGATTCAAATACAGAGGTTCGGCTAGGAAACTTTAGAGGTTTTAAGCTATCATGCTCTATTACAAAGATAATTATTCTTCCTTGCTCTCGATCTGCCTTCCTCTTTCTGAGAGGGTTTATTTATAGCTGGAGGTCTTTGGCGTCTAAGTCTTGGCGTCTTTCTTTGTGTGGTTTTCTTTTAGTCTTCTGTTGCTTTCATTGCTGCTTGCGTCATGGCTGATGTCATTGCTTACGTCATGGCTTGATGTCATTGCTTACGTCATGGCTTGATGTCATTGCTTACGTCACATCATACGGACTTGCATTCCTTGTTGTGCGATTTTCTGTTTTTGTTTTTCTTCTGCAGAAGTCCATAATTCTTTAGATCTTGGTTCGTTGGGGAAGTCTTTATTGTTCATTCTGACGATCATTATCCCTATTTTCCCAGAACGGAATTTAGTGTCATTTGCTTTTTGGCATATCATGTAGTTGGGTCCGTCGCCTATAACTCCATATCCCTGATTATGCATTCGTTTAAGTTGTTCGTGAACAGCTCGAAGTCCCATTGCTCTTCTGAAATATACGTACTGATCATTAGAGCTATCAAACTTTGGTGGTGTGTTTGCTGGTTCACTAGGAGCGGTTGTAGCTTTGTCAGTGGTAGCACAGAGTAGATGGAAAGGTTGATTCTCGAAGTCAGGACTAATTGTCCAGACCTGTAATTTGGAAATGTATGGGGGTAATAATTTCTGTATTTCTGTCCAAAAACCTAACTCGAATTTAGTTACACTTAGGTAAATTTCCCTAATGTAACCAAAATATAAGTAGGTTGATATAAAGGCTGGTTCACATCCTACGTAGGTGGTCATTTTAGGGATGGATGCCTCGCTGGTTAGTAGTTTTAAATGTAGGTCCAAATGGTAATTGTTCGATGAAAGCTTTTGCTTTGAAATAACTCTCTTTTAATAGTATTTTTTCTGGTTTATCGGGTAATTCTGGCTCAAACATCTCTCCTATCGGGATTTTTTGGGTATTTGTCGGATGGCTTGATCCAGGTCTGAATCCCATATCCGGGACTTGCGTACTTTTCGTATCATTTTGAGGATTTTCCTCTTTTTGTTCTTTATTGGGCTCTTTGGCCTCTTGTTCCGGGGTTTTACCCTCCGAATTCTGCGTCTTTTGCGTAGAGTGTGAGAAAGGGGTCTTAACCTCCTCTTCGTTCTCACTGCTAGAAAAATCTAGCATTTCTGTATTTTCTATAACAAGTGTGTGTAGGTCCAAGAACATTTTGTCAGTCTGAACTAACTTCTCTTCAGTCAGAAGAAGCTGTTCTTTCATGTGTGTGATGGATGATCGTATTTCTGTTTGTACCATGCGTAATTCAGTAATTTTTTCAATAATAATATCAAACAGAGTCTGTCCGTCTGGAATGTCCATCTCTACTCAAGAAATCTGCAAGAAAATTGTCAGTTCCCTTTATATGTTCGATAGTAAAATTATAGCAAGAAAGTAAAGATTGCCATCGGTGTATTCTACGATATTGCGGACCAATTCCTTGATTATTTTGTAGTAAAGCTTTTACTTGTGTATTATCTGTTAATATTTTAAAAGGTACATCTATTAACCAAATTGTAAATTTTGTTATTCCTCTTATTACGGCTAAAGTTTCTTTTTCATTAGTTGAATAATTTATTTCAGCATTTTTAAATGTTCCAGAGGTATAACGACAAACTTCTCCTAAGTCGGTTTTTAATATAGCCGCCCAACAATAATCACTAGCATCTGTATTAAGTATTAACTTGTCTTTTCTTTTATCGGGTATTCTTAATTTTGGTAATTTCTTTACTTCTTCTTTGATTTCTTTTACTATTTGTGTATGCCTATCGTTCCATCCTATTTTATTATTTTTTCTTATTAACATTCTTAATGGTCTTACCTTTTCTGCTAATCGTTCTATAAAGCCTTCACTAAAATTTAATATCCCTAAAAATTGTTGAATTTGTTTTTTATCGAGTAGTTGATCAGGAAATTCTTTTAATTTATAGCCTATGTGTTCTTGTTGTTCTATTCCTCTTTCGTTAATTATTAGGCCTAAAAATTCTATTTTTTCTTTTTGTATTTCAGCCTTCTTTTCACTTAATATTAAGCCATGATCCTTACATTTTTTACTAAAAGTTTTTAATACTTGATAATGTTCTTCTAATGTTTTTGTTGCGATTAAAATATCATCTATATAAACTATGATGTCTTTATCTTCTTTAAATATGTTATCCATTTTTCGTTGGTACATTTGAGGACCGTTTTTTATTCCAAATGGCATAACTAACCATTCATAATGGCCATTGGGTGCACTAAAGGCTGTGTATGGTATGCTTTCAGGTTTTAATTTTATTTGCCAGAAACCATTTTTACAATCAAATTTACTATAGTATTTTTTTCCTCTAACTAAATTTATAAGAGTTTCTTTATTTGGAATATAATATCCGTCAAACTGGGTTATACTATTTAATCTCTTATAATTGATTACCATTCGTGCTTTACCACGTTTCTGTTCGCTATGATTTCTAACTAAAAATGCAGGAGAACTATGAGGGCTATTACTATCTCTTATTATTCCTAAATTTTTTTAATTCTTTTATTTGCCTATTCATTTCGTCTTTATCTTCTTGGTTATATATCATTGGAGGTGAACGTATTTTAGTTTCTTTATGATTTTCTTTAATTATAATTTCGGCATATATTTTATTTTTATCCCAGTGTTCTATTGGATTTTCACCATAATTTTCTTTTAAATATTTTATTGTTTCTTGTAATAAAAAATTTGGGATTTCATCGTTTAGATAACATTGTAGAATTTGAATTTCATATATTGGTAAAAAGTGTTTTTCGAGGGTAGAGTCACCACGATTTCGCAGCACTCTGTATGGTTTCCAAATTCTTGGTATTCTTAAGTAGTGATTACACTTAGTTTTTAATGTAACTTGATATAAAGTAATGTTGGATAATTGAAAGAGATTTATAAAATCCATACCTAAAAACATGTCAATATGTATGATTTCGTTAGGAAAAGGGAATATTTCTGGTAATGTTATTATTTTATTTCCTAGTATTATTTCGAAGTTTTCTTTACTTAATTGTGTCGTCTGACTACCTCCAATACCACTCATTTTAATTGGTTCTTTTCTATTGTTCCAATTTGTTAAATTTT